CTGGGCTAGATGGACTTTTGTTTTGACCCATTATGACTATTCTTGTGATCTATGTTTGGGAATCCCCAGTGGTTGAATGTGTGCTGTAGGACTCTTGTCTAACTAGCACGGTGGTCTTCTGAGAATCTCCTGTGCAATGAGTCTGCCGTGGTGTTCTGGTCTCCAGGTGGGTATGTGGTTGAGATGTCATCGTTGTGTTGGATAACTGGTGTACAATCCAGCACAAGTTTAGTGCTTTTGAGCATAGGCATTGTGACCTCACTCCCCCGTGTCTGTTGATGGGAAACATGCAGGCGATGTTGTCCGTCATTACTCTCATGGTCCTTCGTCTGATCAATGATAGAAAGAGTTGGCACGTGTTGCAGACTGCCCATAGTTCTAGCAGGTTGATGTGCAATGTGGATTCTGATGGGGACCATCTGCTCTGCACCATGTGGGTCTGTAGATGTGCTCCCCAACCAATTAGGGAGGCATCGGTTGGCAGTATCAAGAACGGTGTGGGTTGGAGAAAGGGTACCCCGCCCATCCACACATTTTGGGGTTGTGTACACCAGTCTAATGAGGACTTGATCTTGACTGGTATAGATAGGAGTTTGTTTAGGCTGTGTCTGTGGGGTATGTACGCTGTCCGTAGCATGCCTGGAGACCGTGCATGTGTAATCTGGTGTGTTTTACCACAAACATGGCTGCTGCCATATGGCCAAGCAGTTGTAAGCACATTCTGGCAAAGATCTGTAGGCTGGTTTTCATGGTGGAGATGAGACTATGGCTGAAAATCTGTGAGCTGGGAGGAAGGCTCGGGCTCGTTTAGCATCCAGCTGGGCCCCAATAAATTTCAGATGCTGTATTGGCGTCAATACTGATTTTTGTATGTTTATCTGGTGGTCTAGGTTCGAGAACAGGTCCATAATTTTTCTTATGGCTTCAACAGAGTCAATTCTGGTCAGAGCTTTGAGGAGGCAGCCATCCATGTATGAGAATATTACAATTCCTTGTTTGCCCACGTGTGCTGTCACCACCTCAAGGACTTTGGAAAATAGTTTGGACACTGTAGAAAGGCCAAAGGGTAGAACCTTGCATTGGCAATGGTAGGACCCCAGGACGAATCTGAGGAATCACCTGGGGGAAGTGTTTATGGTGATATGGAAGCACACATCTTGGAGGTCGAGGGCCAAGAAACCATCATGTTCCAGTGCTGGGATAATTGTTCATAGTATGACCATCCCGAAGTGTTGTAGTTTGACGAACTTGTTGAGGTTCCTCAAGTCTAGGATATATCTCCACTTGCCGGATTTCTTTTGGATAAGAAAATAGTGGGAATAAAAACCTCTCTCTCTGTGCTGGAAAGGGACCAGTTCTACAGATCCCAGTCACAAAAGGTGGTTTGTTTCTTCTTGTAGAAGGTGTTTGTAAGAAGAGGGACGGGAGGGGGCTAGGTGAATGGGAGAGAGAGGGAATGGAATAGAGTACTTTTTGTTGAAGATTTTTAAGACCCACTTGTCTGAGGTGATTTGTTGCCATGATGGGTAGAAAGGGGCCAAGTGGTTGCCAAATTGATGTGCTATTAAAGATGGTTGCACCAACTGGACCAAAGGGAGGCACCTCGGGACTTCAACCAAAGTTTAAAAATTGTTGTTTTGAGGTGGATGTGTCAGGCGTAGCCCCTTGTGCTGGTATCTGCCTGCTCTTAGGAGGATGCCTCTGTCACCTGCATTTTGTGTCACAACCGCCGCTGAGGAGTGAAATGTGTGGAGTGCAAAACCTTGGGTAGGCTGGTATCTACCCAGTCTTCTCTTTGGTGCTGGCTTATATATGTGGAGTGAATGGAGTGTAGCTCTGGAGTCCTTTACAAAACGTAGGGACTCGTCCGTGAGCTCAGCGAAGAGTTTATATCCTTCAAAGGGTAGATCCTTGACAGTGGTCTGCACCTCTCTGGAGAGCCCGGAGAGATGAAGCCATGATTCTCATCTCATCACAACCGATGTTGCAATAGTGCGAGCAGCTGTGTCTGCAGAGTCCAGAGAGGTTTGCAGTGCATACAAGCCAGAAGTTGTCCTGTCACACCAGTGCCTGGAACTGCTCCTTTTCGTCATCTGGGAGGTGTGGACAGAATTCCTGGAATTTGGAATAGTTTGCGATTATATTCGGCTAGAAGTGCCTCATAGTTAGTGATACTGAACTAGAGTATATCTGAAGAATATGCTTTACAACCAAAAAGAGGCCTAACCTCTTCCAGGCCCTGTTACAGGGGGTTATTCTAGAGTGATGTCGTCACCCCTTCTTTCGTACCGAATTGACAACAAGGGAGTTTGGAGTAGGGTGGGGGGAAAAAATTCCATGTCCTTAGTGAGGACACAGTATTTCTTGTCCACTTGCTTGTAGTTGGATATTGACACTGGGGTCTGCCAGATCGTTTTGGCGGGGTCCAATGGGGACTCATTGATCGGGAGTGCTATCTTTGAGAGCAACAGCACAAGTTGCTTGACAACTTCTTCAGAGGGATCTGAAGAAAATCCACAATCCTGTGGAACAGTTCTTGGAACAGTTTAAAATCATCCACCGATGCTGGAGGTGGTGGCATGATGCCTTCATTGGGGGACAATGAGAAGTGGATTGGTGGTGTAACCTCTTCCTCAGTTTCTTACTCCTGCACCTCTACTGCTTCTGGTTCAGAGTCAGGCAGTCTAGAGACTGATGAAGATGGAGAATGTAGTCGTCTCTGTCTCTGGTCTGTTGACAATTTGGGAAAATGCACCATACATGCAGCCCAGAGGGCCCAACAGGGCAAATGTGAGGAAACTGGCATATGGGGTTTCATCCATGGAGGCTCATACCAGAAACCTGGTTCGCTGCTAGACTCCTTTTGACATGGTCTCCCATAGTATTCTTGCTAACAAGTTAAAGAAGTATGGGTTGGATGAATGGACAATAAGGTGGATAGAAAGCTGGCTAGATTGTCGGGCTCAACGGGTAGTGATCAATGGCTCCATGTCTAGCTGGCAGCCTGTATCAAGTGGAGTGCCCCAAGGGTCGGTCCTCGGGCCGGTTTTGTTCAATATCTTAAAATAAATGATCTGGAGGATGGTGTGGATTGCACCCTCAGCAAGTTTGCAGATGACACTAAACTGGAAGGAGAGGTAGATACGCTGGAGGGTAGGGATAGAATACAGAGGGACCTAGACAAATTGGAGGATTGGGCCAAAAGAAATCTGATGAGGTTCAACAAGGACAAGTGCAGAGTCCTGCACTTAGGATGGAAGAATCCCATGCACCGCTGCAGACTAGGGACCGAATGGCTCGGCAGCAGTTCTGCAGAATAGGACCTAGGGGTTACAGTGGACGAGAAGCTGGATATGAGTCAACAGTGTACCCTTGTTGCCAAGAAGGCCAATGGCATTTTGGGATGTATACGTAGGGGCATTGCCAGCAGATGGAGGGACGTGATCGTTCCCCTCTATTCGACATTGGTGAGGCCTCATCTGGAGTACTGTGTCCAGTTTTGGGCCCCACACTACAGGAAGGATGTGGAAAAATTGGAAAGTGTCCAGCAGAGGGCAACAAAAATGATTAGGGGACTGGAACACATGACTTATGAGGAGAGGCTGAGGGAACTGGGATTGTTTAGTCTGCGGAAGAGAAGAATGAGGGGGGGATTTGATAGCTGCTTTCAACTACCTGAAAGGGGGTTCCAAAGAGGATGGATCTAGACTGTTCTCAGTGGTAGCAGATGACAGAACGAGGAGTAATGGTCTCAAGTTGCAGTGGGGGAGGTTTAGATTGGATATTAGGAAAAACTTTTTCACTAGGAGGGTGGTGAAACACTGGAATGCGTTACCTAGGGAGGTGGTGGATTCTCCTTCCTTAGATATTTTTAAGGTCAGGCTTGACAAAGCCCTGGCTGGGATGATTTAGTTGGGGATTCGTCCTGCTTTGAGCAGGGGGTTGGACTAGATGACCTCCTGAGGTCCCTTCCAACCCTGATATTCTATGATTCCAGGTATCGAGGATGAGAAGATGATTCTCTGTGTGGATGCCCTTGATATGACGGTGGAGTGTGCAATGCAATGGAGTACTCCTCTTCTTCCTCCTCGCTAGAGAAGAGCGGTGCAGTCCTCAGTGGTGAAGGGGAGTAGTGTTGTGTCTCCAGAGAAGAGGCATGAGCTGCAGGAAGCTTGTTATGGAGAAGAGGCAACTCAGGTGTGAGAGATAAACAGGTCCCGTGGGTATCAAAACTCCTGTGGTAGCTGCAGGAGCATCCTCAGCATCAGTGGCTGCGTAGAAACTGGGGGCACTGTCGTTGCCAAGTGTATTCTCTTAAGTGGCCAGCAGATGGTGCCGAAGGTCATGTTGGTGCAGAGGACTTCATCAGTGCTGAGGGCTTGGTCGATGCCAAAGCACTCAGTTATTTTAGTTGAGGTGGTCAGCACCGATTTCAAAATTCTTGCACTGTCCTTCTTGGGTCCAAACGACAGCGTTTCTGTCTGTGGTCCTTGGACCTCCCCTTAGCACCGATACTGGAGGTGCGCTGATGGATGTTGGAGCGAAGTCTCACCCCTGAAGATGTTGAGTCTACTGACCTTGCAGGGGATGCCTTTCTCTGAGGCAGCTCCTTAGAGGGTGAACTAGTGGCCCATTTCTTTTCATCTGGGTGAAAAAGAATAGACTTTCTCTTGGTGGTATGTGGCGAATGAGGGTTGGCTGATGATCATGCTGATGGCGATTGCCACGTGAGAGGCATCGGGGCCAGGGTCTGAGGTTGGCCAGAGAGAGCTCTCCATTAGTAAAAAAGTTTTAGCCTCTGGACTGAGCCTTCAATTTGAAGCAGTGAGTACACTTTTGCGAGATGTATCTCTCATGAGACAGTATATGCACCGTGAGTGACCGTCACTCACGGGGATGGCCTCATGACAGAATAGTTTTAATAAAAATATTATCTTGGCAAGAATTAATCTGCTGTATGTAAAGGTCTCAAGTTGCAATATAGCACAACTGACACTTACATTTCCATAACAATCCTCATCGTCTTCGGACATAGCGGGTAAATATGCTGTGAGCTTTGGGGGTATCTGATGATGCAGATTCTCCCATGTAATGGATTCAAAGAATGGATGAGCCTTAAGAGGTCCATACCCTCCCATTTCTTCACAGCCTAATCTCTTTGTAGCATCCAGAACCTGGACAAGTTAAAATGAAGTTAGTACTTCTTTAAAATAATAGAAAGTAGTTTAAAAACAAATTTTAACTTTATAACAGCACAATGGCAATCCCTTCTGTGTTTTAACAGGCACATTAACATGCTGAACCCTGTGACTGTTAGTCTGGCCAGCTTTAACAAATATGCACCGACTAAAATGGTAAATATTTTCTGCAGGTTCATTTCACTCTTGCTTCTAATCCTCATTGATAAGACTGCACTTTTTTAATCCTCACACTTTAAACATCTTACCATAATTCTATAGCAGGTATACTTACAATGGTGTGCGATATGGGTTAAGTACTCTGAAATGCAATGCAAATTAACTCTAATTTTACCAATAACGAAGCTAGTTCTGTCTAATAACTAAAGAGAGATGTTTTCAGACAAATAGTTTCTCTCTTGGCAAATTGTATGATGCATTAAGAGTATAAAAAGTCTGTAAATTTGTGCTATAAGTCTGATGTATTGTTTTGTGTGATTATCTAGAATAATTTGTTTCAACTTGACTAATAGATGTGTTCCCCGTACACACACTTTCTTCACAATTCAGAAGAAAGTAAATTTAAAATGCTGTTTAGTAACCGATGCTTACTTTCAATATGACAAGTTTTCTCCCTATATGGCCAAGAACTTTAGGTTTCTTGTTAGTTTAAAGGGGGTTTGAGAGTTTATAGTTAGTTTGGATACAAATGTAGGAAAACTTCATACATTCAGCACGTTATGCAGTTCCTATGTAATTTATTCATCTGACAATATAATGAATATTTACCAAAAGCTTTTCCACAAGGTCTTTTGCCTTGGGGAAGAATTTTTCTGGGAAGTCATATTCCAACTTAATTATCTTCTGAAATATAAGATATTCATTGCTGCAAGAAAACAAGTATAATATTTAGTCATCAGATGTTACCTAGGATACTTTTATCCTGGCATTACACAAGCCAAATAGTATAAAGATTTTTTTTTTTTTAAATCCATTATTCTTTAAATGTTAAGGGCCAGATTCCAGCCTGCCCCTGTGAGGATGCTCAAAGACGACCAGAGGGAGAGCACAAGAAGCTTTCTCTCACCTTAACAGCCCTGAGCAAGGGATAGACAAAATTCATAAAGGGAGAATAATTCCCTACTTTTTATACCCATTTGGGTACTAGATGCCTGAATGGGGGCAGGAATGCAGAAGTGAGCACAACTGACTCAGTATAGAGATGGGAGTGTGCTATATCCTCTTCATGGATTTGGTAGCCACCATGGTGATGCGAACTGCATGGGAGCCCCTGGAGAATTTTGACTAGCTCCTGGGGACTCCTGGCTGCAGCAAGAGCACAATCTAGCCCAAAATCATTAAAGTAGTAGATATATTGAACAATGGTTGAAATCATTAATGAAAACATTCAGGGAATACTGTAGTTAATTTCCCTTGAAAACTGCAATTTAGTGAAAACTGAAACAAAAAACAAAACTGTAGTTTACATACAAGATATGATTTGAAGTCTCTTACCCAGCTCTAAATGGTGGCAATCCGGCTACAAGCTGGTATATTATACATCCAAGAGCCCAGAGGTCAGAACTTTAAAGGAAGGGGGAAAAAGAGGAAAAAAAAACAAACCAAAAAACCACATACTAGTTACTGTCCTCGTACAGTAAGCCTGTATAATTTAAGTTAGACAGCATTTCTTATTCTCAACTTCTACCAGTCAGGATACCAGTAACACATACAGCCAATGGAACAGACTTGAATTCAGCACGATCCACACACTCTTCTTACTACATTATTTGGCAAGAAAAGCAGCTAACAAAACTGGCTATAAAGAAAAGTTGTAGCTATACTCTGACAAAGGAATATATATGACAAAGGAAAACAGTAACCACTTCATAGTACATAACCCAAGTATACATCTAAGCTTGCTTGTTCCTAAAACACTGCCAGACAGCATACCTGACAGATCAACCAAAGGAACAGGAAAGCAACTACTGTTACAATCTAAGGCACTGATTTGGATACAGCTGTGTGTGCTCCTCAAGAACTACTTCCCGCTTCCCCATGTCTTTAGACAAAACTCCTACAATCACAAAACAAATCTTTCATTGAAGACTTTCATTTATGTCCAAAAGGTTAATGAGACTAAACAGCATTTGAGGCACTTTTTAGAAGAATCACTCTGTAGCAAGATCTTTTTGATATGCTGGCTTGAAAAGCTGATTAATCACTTTACCGCAACATACATTGCGCCTACTTTGGTGAAAGACTTAGCATTAGCCCTATCCTGAAAAAGAAAAGTTATCTAAAGAGCCTACCCCAACTCAGAAAATACAAGCTCCTTGTAAAGACAGAGAGGATAATGAAAAGGAGTACTTGTGGCACCTTAGAGACTAACCAATTTATTTGAGCATAAGCTTTTGTGAACTAAGCTGGATAATGTCACTTCTAAAAGGAGATGGGTAACCTTCTAAAAAGTCCTTCACTAACCAAACTCTCTAAAGCAGTAAATACAGAAGGTATAATACTTAGCTGCATTATTTTAAAGCTGTAATATATACCTATTTCTAATCACTAATTTTCTGTTGTGGTGAGAGAATAGCCACATATCACAGGCTAAAACTGACTATGCAGGGTGGACAGAGACCAAGCTGCATGGGATTCCTATGTGAAAAAGATCTTAAGGGTGAAGCTGTGAGAGACGCAAAGCTATCTCCTGGACTATACAAGAGCTCATGTGGAGCTCAGTGAAAACACAAGTGGACTGAAGGACCAGACCTGTGGACTAAATAACTTAACTGCAAGGGGGGGGTGGGGAGTCATGACTCTCCTACCTATAGAAAAGGCAAAACATTTTGTTGAATTTACAACAGAAGTTGCTCATGTTGGAGCTGACTTATGTTCAAAATGGACTGAGAAAGGGTGGTGGCTCTTTGGATGCAAGACCATGTCTAAAACTTTTTGGTTTATTATTATATTTTCAGGACGTATAGCCTTTTCACCATCAACTTCCTTCTCACTACAGTACTGAGGTTGTGTCATAAGTCACTATGTCTGTAGAACCCAGAACTCATGAGCAATCCAGTAAGCCAGTGCTCACACATGGAATAACATTTGCCAAAAAGGAAATGTATTTTGATTTAAAATAACCAAGAGATGCTAAAGCAACATTTTGTAAAAGTAGAAGATATTTTAAATAAATATTTTAAAAGAGGAAAAAATTGTAAGCTAAGTCCATAAAATTCTCTACAAACACAAAGACTACTTACCTTTTGCAGGCAGATTTTTCTGTCAATAATTCCGGAGAAACGTATTGCGCTGTCCCTACAAATGAGTTTGCTCGTGCTGGGAGAAAAGGGAAAGAGATAAGTAAACCCTTAGTTAGATAAACCAAAATTTTATCTATTGAATAGTATGTAAGGCTACAGAACCCACCCAAATTCTGTGTCTACAGTAAATACTTTTTTTTGGATAGGCAATTACAAAAATTTTTCCCTCCACTTTTATTCTTGGTAGAGGGTAGGCAAATAGGCATTTTGACTGGGCTAGCAGATTTTAACAGTTTTGCCAGACTGTGCTACAGGATATTACAGTTCAAATATGTTGGAGTTATCACATCTCTTAAAAAGGAGCTCATTCAGCTTGTGTTCTGTTACTTTGTGTTTCCTGCCTCTTCCCAGTGCCTAGCACTTTATAAGCTACACTCCTGGCACCCAGCATAGTATACAGCACACCTGCTGGGCTCCTCTGATGTTGCTAGCTTGTGCTGCACCTAATCCATTGCTTCACTCGTAGCACATACATCACTCGCCAGAAAACAAACCTGTTGGATGAACGGCAAGACTGTCTGGTGTCACTGGAGGGCATATATTGTGGTGGCATCAGGCCACCAAGATTTGCATTGAGGGAGGAAGAGAAAGTGCTACAGGAAGCAAAGAACCCCATTCCATTTACATTTAGCAACTCTTGACAGTAATTTGGAGAATCTTGGCCCTGAACACACAATACTTGGGAATTACTCCTTTCTGCCCCCTCCTCTCTGAGGAGTACTAAACAAGCCATGAGCATAAGTTCAAATAGTTACTCAAAATTCTTCCTCAGGACAGTGCCTTGTTATAGTCAGTACTATATTCTATAAAAAGAAAAGGAGTACTTGTGGCACCTTAGAGACTATATTCTATGTTCCTTTACCTAAATTAAGGATGTATATTGCATAAAAAGACACATGATGGCTTTGTGTTCACCTCATGCTATTCTTACTTTTCACTTTATTGAAGAGCAAGGCAAATCAGCAAGTTGTTACAATGCACAGCAGTTTCAAGGCAACCTTTAAGATGGTTATTTATTAATAACTCTTATCCAAGTCTTTCTTTTTGTTGATAAATTGTATAGTCAATTGCTTGACCACATTTTAGTTTATTATGAAATATATTCAAGAGACCAAATAATTAATGTCAGTCAGGTTTTTTGCTGTGACACAATAAAAATATAGTATAGTAAAAAGTTTTATATGATACCAGTCTCCAGGAAGCAGTCTCATACAGCGTTGTTACGTTCACCTTAAACAGAAGGTGTGCTCCCAAAGTTACGCCCCTAAAACCATCTTTTTATACCCTACTTATTTACAAATACAAGGTATTATGTACATCACAAACTAAATTTAACCAATCAGCTTTCTACCTGATTTTTCTGGTAGTATGGTGTACCTCTTATCTTTCTGTTCTAAACACAGGCATTTGAAATACCAAGAGTGTGACAGCACCTCCTAGGTTTGTACTAGGATACAACAATCCTATATCTTATCCTCTTCCTTTGGGACATTCCAATACTGGCCTGTGAGAGTAACTCTGTACCTGCTCGGTAAAAAAAAAAAAAATCATAGGAAAGTTGTCAGGATCAGGACAAACAAGACAGGAGGTACACCATACTACCAGAAAAACAAGGCAGAAAGCTGATTGGTTAAATGTAGTTTGTAACAATGTACATGGTACCTTGTACTTGTAACAGATAGGGTATAAAAAGTATAGAGTTATATAGGTAACTATATATACACTACACTACACTACACACACACACGCCAGCCACCATAAATTGGTCAACATTTCCTTGTCTGAAATGTTTAAAAACACACTACAGTACAATCTCACAGGCCCTGCCATTACACAGAAGATTGTTTTTAAGAAAAACTATTACAAATTAAATCCCCAAATGGTGGACGTTTCCCAGTATGTTATCTCAGTATCACAGTAGTCATCAGCAAAAGCCAGCTTAATGCTAGTTATATTGTTTTAAAAATACCAAAACAAGACCTCAGGAAGTTTAAATACCCTGTGTTTTCAGTAATAATCTACCATCAATTGCACCAAAATATCTGCCTCTCTCTCACATTTTAATTTAAGTCACTGCCATGGGAGACATCCTAGCATATATAATCAGAAAAGACAAGAGGTTTTTCTTGTCAGACAGCCAGAAGGATATACTGTTTTGTTTCTTTTCTTCAGAAACACAGAATAAATAATTAAGCTCCCTTTCCTATATTTTAAACTGGAGAGAAAATTGGCTTTATTCAAAACAAACTCTACCAGTTCTAAATCCACACTTTATGAGCCGATCCACCCAAGCAGAAGTTTAAAGTCAGAATTGTTTTAGGACAACAAAACTATATCTCGACTATGGTATAGTCACATGCAGTGTTCAAAGTCAAGGATAGTTTAACTGAAATTCAAGAGATTTACATTTTAGGGAACTACTTTTTCTTGAGTAGTTCACTGGGATACAGGATCAGAGATATGAACAATTGCATACCTTGTCTACTATCTGCAGATAATACTTTTGCTGTTCCAAAGTCTGTTATTTGAATGTGCATCTCTTCATTTAGCAAAATGTTCTCTGGCTTAAGGTCCCTGAAAAAGGTGGAGTCTCAAATTTAAAATTAAACATGTGAAAACCAGATATCACATTTCAATTCTGAAGCTAACAATATCCTTAACATGAATTCTGCAGGTCATAGCACTATATATACAAAGCTTTGTACATATAAATTAATCCATCAAGAAACCACAGGAATTGTGTAAATACTATTGTGGCAATTTTTATTTGACCTGGGGGAATCAACATTTAGAGTGGGGATAGCAGATTTCATAAAGCCCACGAATTTTTCCAATCCTTCTAAAAGTTAAAAGGAGTTAATCACAAAATGGAGGTCAACATGCATCTCACTTGTTCAAAAAAATCTACCAAAAAGAGTAGGACAATTGTAAATCTTACATTTAAAGAACATATGAGACTGATATGGTAATACAGATGTGAAATTTACACTACTTGACTAGAACACAAAACATCACTAAGTATGAAATATCATTGGCCCAAGAATGATCATCCCACAAAACTGAATGAATGGGACAAATGAAAACTATACTAAGGCCATAATTGTGCAAACTTCACACATGGACTTCTGCAGGCCTCCAGTTGTGATAAAAAACAAGACCATGTCAACCAACCAACACCTAGCTGCTGCAGGATTCTGTAGTTAAAACTTAAAGTGGTTCTACTTAAGAGTGAACATGAAAAACAGCACTGTAGGGTTTCACACTTATTGTGTCATTGTTGTATCAAAATTTTCCCAGTTTACAAGAGTTTTTGTTTTTTTTTAAAAAGCAAGCGTTCTTCTAAGTGCTAGCCCTGAAAACTAAGACTGAGATCTGAAAGTCAAGCTGGGGTCTTTCTGGCTCGTGCTTCATCAGTAAAAACTTTGCAAGTTCAATGCTGCTTTCAGTAACCCTTGTGCAATATGATTTTCCTCAGATCATGTGCCAGTTAGGTCTGTGCAACAAAATGATTTTTAATGGCAGATTTCAACCAAAGAGCAGAATTTGGTGGCAATGCAACTGCGTAATTCTGTTAATGACGCATAAACCAGAAGGTAGGCCAGTTCATTCCCGCACAGCCATTTCAACTCTGCAGAGCTGACAGCAGTGAAAACTGATTGAATACACACAGGAAACAGATCTGCTGAAAAAGTAAGGTTACTTATGTTACAGCAACTCAAGTTATTCGAGATGTCTTTGTCCATACAAATCCCACTGTTTGTGTAGGCCTCTCCATACATGCAAGTCCAGAATCTTTTAGCTAGCAGTGGCCACTGGAAGATTGGCATTAGGGTGTGCAGGGCACATGTACGTCTTTTCCCCCACTTACAAGTGCATAAAGGGTGGAGCAGTCCCAACTACCACTCAGTTCCTTCAGTAATATTGATATCTAGGAGGACAACTCTGTTAGTAGGGAAGGATGGCAGGTCATAGGATCCATATGGACGAAAGCATCTTGAAGAAATTTCTCACCTTGTGCAATAATGATGGTTCTTCAAGATGTGTCCCCCTATGGGGGCACCACCATAGGTGTGTGTGCATCCCTGCACTGCTGATCGGAGAACTTCAGTAACAGTGTCCATTAGAATCATAGAATATCAGGGTTGGAAGGGACCTCAGGAGTTCATCTAGTCCAACCCCCTGCTCAAAGCAGGGCCAATCCCCAACTAAATCATCCCAGCCAGGGCTTTGTCAAGCCTGACCTTAAAAACTTAAGGAGGGAGATTCCCCACCTCCCTAGGTAACGCATTCCAGTGTTTCACCACCCTCCTAATTTTTCCTAATAAAAAAAAGCTTTTCCTAAACCTTTTCCAACCTAAACCTCCTCCACTGCAACTTGAGACTATTACTCCTTGTTCCGTCATCTGCTACCACTGAGAACAGTCTAGATCCATCCTCTTTGGAAACCCCCTTTCAGGTAGTTGAAAGCAGCTATCAAATCCCCCCTCATTCTTCTCTTCCGCAGACTAAACAATCCCAGTTCCCTCAGCCTCTCCTCATAAGTCATGTGTTCCAGTCCCCTAATATTTTTGTTGCCCTCCGCTCGATGTTTTCCGATTTTTCCCACATCCTTCTTGTAGTGTGGGGCCCAAAACTGGACACAGTACTCCAGATGAGGCCTCACCAATGTCGAATAGAGGGGAACGGTCATGTCCCTCGATCTGCTGGCAATGCCCCTACTTATACATCCCAAAATGCCATTGGCCTTCTTGGCAACAAGGGCACACTGTTGACTCATATCCAGCTTCTCGTCCACTGTAACCCCTAGGTCCATTTCTGCAGAACTGCTGCCTAGCCATTCGGTCCCTAGTCTGTAGCGGTGCATGGGATTCTTCCGTCTTAAGTGCAGGACTCTGCACTTGTCCTTGTTGAACCTCATCAGATTTCTATTGGCCCAATCCTCTAATTTGTCTAGGTCCCTCTGTATCCTATCCCTACCCTCCAGCATATCTACCTGAATATGCACTCTCTCTCCTTGTGCTGTGCCATGAGGCTTGTCAGCATGCGTGGGCTAACCCCTGTCTGTTCCTTCTCTACCGCAAGAACTCTAAAGTAGAGGGTAGGAGGGTGAGTTGTGGAGCACCTATAGGGGCATGCATCTCAAAGAGCCACCGTTACTGCATGTAATAGGGCCCCCTTTGCTCCTGCCTCTGCTCTGTTCCAAAAACCACTCAGAGACCTTCTGGCTCAGCAATCACCAGTGCAGTTTATTTACAGGGTGCAATTCCCACCACCTTCTCAACACATACAGCTTGGGGGTTTCAGTCTGAAGGACTTTCCAGCCTCTGCAGCCAGGAGAGAAGAGCTACCACTCTCCTTCTACTCTCTGCCTTCCCCCTTTGTCTGCCCCCCGGCTTCCTTCCTCTGAGGCTTTTATGGAGCCCCAGACTAATTAGGCTGGCAGCCACTTCCCTTTTGTCAATCAGGTTCAGGTTTCTCTAGTCAGCTCCAATTTCCTTAACTGGACCTGGCGTGACATAGGGCTGGCTCAGGTGTTCCTGCCCAGCACCCTGCCACACTGCACAAAGTGAGTAACTTCCTCTTATGCTTCGAGTAGTGTCCCTATGGGTGCTCTACTGTCAGTGACAGCGACGTCTAGCTGAAGATGGCACTGAAGGTGGAGTCCCCAGTAATTGCATAGTGTTCTGCGAAAGTGTGGACTGACGCCCATGTTGCCACTCTACATATCTCTGAGATAGACTTGGTGGAGTGTGCATGAATAGTCTGGAGGGGTCACAATGCGAACTTGGTAACACTGTCTGATGCAATTCAAGACTCACTTGGAGCGCCTTTGGGCTAATATTGCGGAGACCGTGGATCTTTTCACGATGGAAAGGAAAAGCCTAGGGGACGTCTTGAAGGCCTTCATCCTATGCAAGTAGAAGGCCAGGGCTCTCCTGACATCTAGAGCATGTAATATAGCCTCCCTCCTGTCCTGGTGAGCCTTGAAGTAGAAGACTGGAAGGTGAATCAATTGATTTATGTGAAACAGAGATATTACCTTTGGGATGAATTTTGGATGTGGCCCGAGTGTAACCTTGTTCAGAAAAAAAAACAAACACTGTGTGGGGGGTTGAGCCGTCAGAGCTGCTCTCTCTCCCATTCTCTTGACTGAGATAATTGCTACCAGGAAGGCCATTTTCATTGATAGGTGCATCAACAAACAGATGGCCATGGGTTCAAAAGGAGGCCTAGTCAGTTCTTTCAACACCAGGTTTAGGTCCCACATAGGGATAGGAAGCGGAGGCTGTGGGAAAAGATTTACTATACCTCTAAGAAACCCTTTAGTAGTTAAGTCTGACAGCACTGAGTAGCCCTCTACAGGTTGGTAGAAAGTTGTTATAGCCACTAAGTGACCCCGAAGAGGGCTTAGAGATAGTCCTGACCATTTTAGGGTCAAAGCATAGTCTAGGATATGCGGAAGAGTTGTAAATGTTGGGGAGATTTATTAGTACTTGCACCAAACCTGAAACCTGGACCATTTCTGCAGGTAAGTATGTCATGTCGAGGACTTCCTATTGTGTAACAGTACCTCTTGTACCTCCCTTGAACAGAAGCTTTCTCGGTGTTGGAACCAAGCAGAAGCCATGCCTTGATGCAGAGAATCCCCAAGTTTGGATGTTGGGTACATCCTCCATTCTGCAAGAGGAGGTGTGGGATGGCCATAAGAGGAATCAGCAGGAACACCATGAGCTGTACCAGGTCTGTCTCGGCCAAGTAGGAGTAATCAAAATGACACCATCCCTTTTTTATTTTCAGCAGGACCTTCAAAGGCAGGGGAAATAGAGGAAAGGCAGAGAGAAGGTCCTTGTTCCAGGGGAGGAGGAGAGCATCACCCAGGGAGTGCTGTCCCATCCCCGTTCTGGAGCAGTAGCGTGGACATTTCTTGTTCAGGCAAGTGGCAAAAGGTCTGTGGATGGCGTCCCCCATCGTCTGAATAGGCTGTGAAGCATTGTCAGATGTATCTCCCTCTCATGGTCGTGTGGGAATTTGCAACTGAGATTGTTCGCTACTGAGTTTTGTGCACCTGGGAGGTAAGCCATACACAGTGTAACATTGTGGGAGATGCACCATCACTTCTGCGCATAGGGAGGGTGACTGGTTTCCCTCACCAATTGATGTAGTACATATAGGCTATGTTGCCTGTTAGAATCTTTGTGCGAGATCCTGTGATCAGCAGGAGGAAATGGGCGCAGGTGTTCCTGACTGCTCTTAGCTCGAGGAGATTGACATGAAGGGATATCTCCGCCAGCGACCATTTGCCTTGTGTTGTGAGGCTCTTTAGATGTGCACCCCACCCTATGAATGAGGCACCAACAGTGAGGAACAATGATGGTGACGTCTGGTAGAAGGGAACCCCTTTGCAAATGTTGGCTGGGTCCTTCCACCAGTCTAAGCAGTTTTTGACCCTGGTGGGTGGTGACAGGGATTTGTCCAGCCTGTCCTTGTTTGATCTGTAAACCAAGCTGACTCACATTTGGAGGCATCACATGTGAAGCATGGCATGTAGTATTACCGCCATGCATGCTGCCATA